GCCGATGCTGCAGGCTTTGAAGGTGGTGGGCTCACACGCACACACACAGATCCCTCCAGACGTGGCCATAAATGGCTCTCGAGGCGGTTCCGCGGGAAACCTCCGGCTCCTCATCCAGCCTGGACGAGCTGCGGCTGCTGCGGGGGACGATGGAGTGCTCTCGGGGCTGCGGGCGCACCGCGCGGGGATATCCCAGGGTGTGCGGGCTGCCCACAGACCCTCAGACGGGGGAAGGGCTGTGCCTGCCAGGGCAGGGGCGCAGGCATCCTCCGCCCCTCGGAGCCGGGTTTGCTCAGACGAGGCTGCCGGCCTGACCCGGACACGGGATCCGCCCAGGCCACCTGCAAGCCGCGGTGCGAGCGCCAGTGTCCGCCCCGTCGGGGATGCAGGCTGCTGGGCCCGGCGGCTCCACGGTGCCTTTCAGGCGGGTGTCAAGGGACTTCTCCACCCCCGAGTTTAATTTTTCAGCTTGCAATGGCTACAGAAAGGGGGTTGGCCCGTGGTGCCACGGGTGTGCGGGCGTCGATGCTCCCACTCGCCCTGTCCCCGTTCACTTCGGCGCGGGCGGCAGCTGCTGCGGACAGCTTCTGGCCCTCCCTGCATGTGGCCCAGCTCCCGGTGGCTGCCTTCCCTCGGGGAAAGGCTCAGCTTCTCCCTCGGCATGGGGGGCTCGGGCTCTCCCCGCCTCGTGGGCTGGGGACACCGGGCCCCTGCTACACGCTACATTTTATTGCGCACTTCCACTGGTTAATCCCGCAGTCAATGTAGACCGGGCCGCGGGCGAGGTAATGATCGCGCCCTTAACTGCTGAATCGCGCAGTAAACGGAGAGCCAGCACACATGCAAGGCAACGATCACCCCGTTAACTGCTGAATCGGGCAATAGCTGTAGATCTCCACACCTGCAACGGGGTTAGCACGGGATAAACACAACTCTCCAGCTATAAAAGGAGCCAACCTGCTCTCAAGACAGTGCCTGAAAACGTGTTTTCGGTTTGCGCCCGGCTTCTCCTCGGGAGGGGAGGTCGGGCCGGGTGAGACGCTGGGCAAGTCCCGAGACCCGGGATCGGACCCGGCCTTGGTGCCTGGCCCGGGACAGCGGTGCCAGGCGCAGGAGGGCTCCCGGGGGACGGGCCCTGAGGCCCTCGGGCCGTGTCTCCTGCAGGGAAGGGCCCGGTTTCGTTGCTGCCGAATCGCCGGAGCGGTCCTGGCGGCGGAGGTAACGCGTGTTACCGCGGGGCGAGGAGCGGCCGCCGGCTGGGCGGGGGTCGCCCGGGGGCTGCTGCGGGC